GGGGTAAGGTTTTGACATGAATTTCGACTAAAAATTATGTATTCAGATTTGAAAGCCAGATTAATCTAGAGGGAAAACTATGTACAAAAAGCCAAGCCTCGTGAAAATCGGTTGAGTTTTGACCGAGTTATGCGGGAGGGAAACTTCGACTTATGCCTTATACGAATCATAGGGGTAAGATTTTGACATGAATTTCGACCAAAAATTATGTTGTCAGATTTGAATGCCAGACTAATCTAGAGGGAAAACTATGTACAAAAAGCCAAGCCTCGTGAAAATCGGTTGAGTTTTGACCGAGTTATGGGGGTGGGAAATTTCGACCTACGTCCATATACAAATCTTAGAGGTTAGATTTTGACATGAATTTCGACTAAAATTTATGTTTTCAGATTTGAATGCCACAATAATCTAGAGGGAAAACTATGTACAAAAAGCCAAGCCAAATGGACATGGCCAGATCGACTAGAACAGCTTTAAAGTTTAAATAAGTACATCGTAAAATTATAATTATTATTATATTATTATATATTTTTGTTGTAAGATTATATCTACACTTACCAAACTATGCCTTGTGCACCAGATCCTATAGGCCTCAATTTAATGTACCGACTTAAAATTGTGAAATTAGTATCGCCAACTTCGACGGTATAGTGATGGGCAGCCATAATCAGCACGTTATTTTAATATTTATATTAAGCACCGATACTGTTCATTTCTACCTAAAATAAAAATAATCAAGGTGAAAATTTAGGATTTTAGCATTTTAAGACAATAATAATAAGTTTGTAAATAAGTTTAACAAGTTAAGTATTTATTGTAATAAAAAGTTTTATTTTACATTTTGTGTGGTAAAGGATTTCAGAGGAGCTAAGAATGATAAATAAAGATAATACCGGTAATTTTTCAGGCCCTTCATACGTATCTAGTCCAACTCTAACACTATGTCAGAAATGAAGCCCTTTTCTGCGGGAAGGCGGCACACTTACTATTTTGTGGTAAAGATGCGCTTGAATGTGTGTGTGAAATTCAGTTTGCGCCAGCTGCAGCAAACATGTGGCTTGTCCATATACATAAGCCCACGTTTTCTTTAATAACTTCTGTGTTTCTTAACCGATCTTCATGAAATTTTTAACATTAGATCTTATTGTGCTATAGAATATAAATTTTCAATAAGACAATTGCACTTAAATTGTGGCTTGAATTTATGGGGACTTTCAATTGATTTATTTATCTGGTTTATAGCTATAGGGCAGAGTCGGGGGTTGCGATAGGTATAAAATGAAAGATACTTGGTTTGTATATACTATTCTAGAAGCTACATGTCAAGTTCCGTGACTTTAGCTCTTACCTACTCCTACCTAGGCCTACGTTCCAAGTCTCTAGCTCTTATAGTTTCTGAGATCGACTTGGCTATTGATGTTGATCATGAATATATAAACTTTATAGGAATGGATATGCTTCCTTCAGACTGATACATTTGTAGGAAAACATTATACCCCTCCTTTTACCCATTTTTAATAGGTTTAGGGTATAAAAATTAATAATTGATGCTGAATTTAAGCTCTAGTTTTAGATGTGAATTTGCAGTTTGCAAAGAATGAACTGACAGTGAAATATTTGCCGAATTTTAGGTTTGTTTGTGTTTTTACTTTTGTGTTTTGAGTTTCGGAATTTTCGTGCCTTATATAAATGAAGAATAAAAAGTAAAAAGTTAAGAAAAAATAGTTTTAGTCGATAAAATATTGGTATGGCTAACGAGGAGTGCCGTTTGTTAAGGGTTTGAGTCGTATTGAGGGAACTTTTTTTAAAATTTATTTGTATTACTGCTAAAGTAAGCTAGCTCGTAGTGCGAGCTGCAGTTGGTAGAAGAGGGCTTATGATATCCGGGATATGAGAGTGCCCTAGTCGGGATTGCCCGACTTGGAGATTCCTGAGCTGCCGGCACAGATAATCTAGCTTCCTTCTTCAGATGGGTTAATGAGGTCAGAGTATAAAATTCAGTTGGGCTGCTTTAAGTTGAAAGCGAGATTACGACGAGGAAGAAGCACAGGTATATCTGTTCTTTAAAATCCTTTCATGGTATTTATCATATTACGTTAGACATATAATGTCTCAGAAATTGGGGAAGCTGCCAAGCCTATGTACTTATTTTTCATGTTTTTTTTTGGCAGGGGCATGGTATGTGCGCATTTTATCGATATGATTTTTATCTCGCATTTGTATATTTTTCGTCTTTGATAGCGTGCATATCAAATCCGTCTATAATAAACAAGTGAATTAATTCATTCAACGTTTTCCTTCTTTATTTACATGGCCCACCAGGAAGTGGGCAATCGTAAGAATTTACAACCCCTGCTATTTTAGACACACCGAAGATTAAGCCATACACATATTACAACCAAGTATATTACAATTATTCTTTGCGGACAGTATTTGGATATATACGCCTTATCTCTTTCACTGTTAACAGATATCTCACATTCATTTTGCAATATTGAGAACGTCTTTAACACACACTTATAAAAATCATACGCATGCATACATATGTTTGCATGTATTTTCGTTTACAGTTGCAAAATCGATATTATATATGTGTACATACACAGAACCTTTAGAAATTGATACAAAAAGTAGTTCTGCTTTAAAATTAAAAGGTAGAATCACATTATTCATGTCTACATGTATATATATATATAACTATATATATATATATGTAACTAATATTTGATTAGTTAGATTTTGTGCAATATTAACTATACCACATACATATTTACCTGCATGTATAACAGTGAAAAATTTAATGTACCCAATTATGTGTCCCAAACTAACCAATTTTTTATTTGTACATCCGTGTTATGTGTTTTCGTGTGATTAAATTGATATTCATTCACTTTAATCGTCAGCAAAACTACACTTGTTATTTATACAAACACCAAGTTAAATGTACTGCATATAAAAGCAAAAACATATTTACCATTAATATTTGTGTAGTCAAAGAGAAAATTCGTTACCACTGCACTTACAAGTCGCGTGACTAATTACAAATTGTTTTAAACTTTATATTGTATTGACTAAAAGCGCAAATAGACAATAAGTATATCATATGAAATAAATGGTTTCGATTTGTTTCATACTATAATAGAGTAGGACCACGTTCGTTTATCAGAAAATACCCTATTTATTTTAAATACCAGAGACTTAAAGTAATCGATATCTAATAGATATTTGAACTAGCGCCCCAAGCGGCAAATTCTAGTAACAAAATATCCTTTTTTTCTGTAAATTGTATGCTGCATTAAAACTTTAAAGCTTTGAAGAAACTAAATATATTTGTGTAAACAAATACTAATATCCAGTATATCGATGTGGAATTTTGTTACGGACGTGTGTTGCATTTGCATTTGCTATCGGCAGCGTCGATATCTGTGTGGTCAGGTTATCGGAAGTTAAATCGAGCGTATAGGGGCGCAACATTATTATTGGTCAAAATTCATGTGAAAATGGTACCATCAAATATCCTATATAGACATAGGTCAAAATTTCCCACATCCATAACTCGGTCAAATCTCATCCGATATTTATGAGATTTAGCTCTCTGTTCATGGTTTGGCCTCTATTATATTGGGCATCTAAATGTGGCAAAGTTATCCTTGGTAAAAATTCATGTAAATATGTTACCTACAAATATCATATGTAGACATTGGTCAAAATTTCCCACATCCATAACTCGCTAAAATCCCATCCGATTTTCACGAGGTTTAGCTCTTTGTTCATGGCTTGGCACATATTGTTTTTCTTTTCTAACTTAATTAAAATTTTTTATGACCATAACAATTGTTTTTTTTTTTCAAAGTTTAGTTTTATATTAAATATTTATTTATATTCTCATTAAAAATTAATGTAAGTGCACATTATAATAATAAAAAATAAGGATAATTAATCACAAGTAAACGTGATCTTAATTTTAGGCAATACTTTGCCCACATTTTTCTGTAATCGTAACGTATTCCCAACATCCCAAATTTTTTTTTTAATTATAAAAAAAAAAAACTGTTGTGCATATATTGCAATAAATTTTGGCAGCAATATATATATATATGGGGAGCATACTAAAACTAGTAATGCAAAGTTCGGTTAAAAAATTTTTGTAAAAAAAGTTTTTACAGATCTATGTTAGTTTTAAAACTGGGAGACTATTTTGCATAGAAAGGGACAGATGGAAAGACGGACATAGCTATATTAACTCAGCTATAGATGCTGATCTGGAATTTATCTACTTTCTTGACAAAATTATACTACCCTCTATAGGAGAATAAAAAAACAGGTAAAAGGACACACCTTACTGGGGTGTGTCCGACTAAGGCAAAACTCTGAACCTTCTTTTACCAAATCCAGATGAAGCTCAAGCAGTAGAAAGAACCCCTGCAACAGAAAGACATAGAGAGAAAGAATATAGATTCGGAGATGATTCCTTCTACCTGACATATACCTTGCCCAAAAAAAAAAATGTTGTACCAAAAAAGTAAGATTGGAGCTTTAACACAGCAAAAAATAGCAAGAAATGTGATTTTTAATTTTAACCATAAGATCAATTAGAAATTACTTATTTGGATTTGTCTTAAAATTTTATTTTTTTTATCGGCGCGGCAAATACTTAAACTACCATAATATAGTTAGTACCTCTATGTACGCTTATAAGAATAGGTAGAACGATTATAACCAATTTAATTCAGATTTGGGTTAAAAACTAACTGACAGATTTAAAATTTTTTGGAAATATTTTCTTTTTATTGCATGTTAAATTATATCACAGTTTATATACTGAGACCTTAACTTAAATTCAATAGACGATATTTTAGAATAGAAATCAATGAATAACTTTTGACTTAAATAAAACTACCTTATAAGTGGCTAGCAATGAAATACTTTCTACACGGAGACATCAGTTGCTAATTCTTGTAGCTTTTAGGCCAGTCCTTTTACAATTGAAACTATATATCTTAATATTAATATCATAATGGTATGCATGAGTTTATATTTATATACAATTCTTAAAAATACAATTGCTAAAGTCAACTGACTAAAATTACTATTTACGAACAGTTTCAGCTATTAACATTTTGTAATTGGAACACAGAAAGCAAATTTGCTAATACACATACAATAAATAAAAAAAGTGACGGTACAGTAATGACAAGACTATTTGTACCATTTAATCCTTTTATACTGTTGAGGCTAACAGTGTTATTCGAATTATTTTCGCCGTCGAGAATACTTCGGTTTGCATGTTGCATAGCGGCTGGCTTCTCTCCTGAGTATTAAACTTAAGTTAAGTTAACTTATCTTTATAGATTCAGTACAGTTTTACTTACCCCTTAGGACATGCACCGTAATGCTTGCTGGCCGCGCATTTGAGGGCGCACAGGTGTAGTTGCCAGCATGATGAAATGTGACAGTTTTTATGGTTAGCACACTCATTGACGAATTTGGAAGATACGGGGATTTGTGTTGCTGTACTTGTAATGTCGACAAAGGGGTCATAGGTGATGTATAAATAGAAGGGCCCGCATCACTAGTTGCAATAGCACTGCTGGCATTAAAATCCATTGCTCCGCGAAATACTTTTGTTTTTCCACCGGCTTTTGACAGAAAGCCCTGTCCATTTTCTTGACCATGAAGGGCATTTTCTGTAACCGATGTTACAACGAAGCCGCCTTGAGCGTCATAGTTCACCATTTTATTTTCGTGATACCTAAAAAGTATAATAATAACAAATAGTTTTATATATTTATGTGTAATTACGTAAATGAGCTGCAATTATGTTAAAAAATTAAAGAAAATTGTATATTTTTTTGGTGTGTCGCGGCGATCCACTTAAAGTCAAATGTTTTTTCTGTCATACTTTCTCATTTTCGTAGCATAGTGTTTTTTTAAGACCGCATGGTTAGTGATGTTGCAGGATTGGACGCATCCTGAGGAAGATCAATGGCTCAATCTCTACTAAGCAATGGAAGGTCACCTAACGCCCCGTTAAGGATGGTATGACGATACCCTCCATGATCTTGGACGATGAAGCCTTTCCCTTACTAATACTACTTACTAATCCTTGATAACTCCCAAAAGGTGTAAGGAGAAAACTCGTGCCAAGGCGAAGAGCTCGTAATGCTGAGCTTGATGAACATATCTTGGAAACTTTTCGACCGATATTTTAAATGGCAGCTATATGAAACTGTTTATACGGATGGACACACTTTACAGCTAATTGTTAAATCGTGAATTTCCGTAAGTTTAACCTCAATTGACTGACTGTTATTTGTACAATTTAATATTATTCGGACATGGAAACAACGAACATGAACATATATTAAACATCAAGAGTTTGTTTGTTTATATAAAAAATGCCTAGCTGTGATTTTAAAATAACCTTTTTTAGAAGCGGATTATATGATAATAATTTTCGAATGCAGTCATAGTTATTTGTTAAATTTTAGCTTACCAAAAGACAAAAGAAGGATTCTCCGTGGCACCCTTAAGCTTACATTGTAGTTGAAGGGTTGAAGTTTCGTCAATAAGAATATCAGAAGCATTCGATATTTCGGCAACCGCTTCTAATAATAGGAAATAAAGTGTTAATTTCATTATAAATTTGCTTATGTAATTCAAATTTTATACTTACCAACTATTTTTAATTCTATAAAAATTGATTGCGTAGGGTAAATTGACAATTGACACTCATAAAACCCTTTGTCCTCTTCTTTGACAGCCTTAATTCTTAGCGACCAATGGCCCATATGACGTGTGTGCTCAACTAAAAATCTTTTGTCACTACTATGTGTTGATAATCCGACTGTGAGCAATTGAAAATCTCTTCTTCGTATCCAAGAAACCTTAAAATAAAACATTTTTAATAAAGCAATTTTTTTGTTATGTTTACTGTAGTATGGGTTGTTCGGATAGTTGCCTTATATTGATTGGGTGTGGCTTTAGGAGCACACAAACTATAAATAATCTAGACTAAACTATCTCAAACTGGGACATTTGCACACAGTTATAGCATATGTATACATTGTGGCAAGCATTACTTTATTTGTCTATTAGATACATTTGCGTGACTATATAATACAAATTGTTAGGCTATTATAGCTCTTATAGATATTGAGATCGAGGCGTTCGTACATTCGGATAGACGGTCATCCGTACAGACGACGGCAGCATGGTTTGCTAGGGTTCGGGGTTCCTCGTGGAACAGCTATACATCGTGCTGCTTATACCTTGTCAAGTTTTCACTTTAATTAATGTATGGTTTTTTAAAACCCTGCGCTTTTATATAACCAAAGACACACAAATTAAATATAAGGCAACAGCGACCATACAAGTAATTTAAATTAAAAAAAAAAGCGTTCGTCAACATTTATGTGTATATCTAATCGGAAAATTTCTTACCGTTGCCGGGGAGTTTACTTTAACAACACATGGCAAAATAGCAAGTCCTCCTTTCTGAGCGATGACACGGGTATTATTTTTGGTATTGAATTGACTCTGCACGGTACTTCCAAAGTGATTCTGAGATGAAGTCATTTTTCCTAGATCTGAAATTTTTAACAAATTACACATAAATAACTTATGTTATAAAATTCGATAAATATACAAGTAAGAGACTCTAGTCGGGAGTTCCCCATTAGGGGATACCCTGATTCCCCTTCTACCAGCACCAAATGCAGCTCGCACTACGATTGCGTTTGCTTTAGCATGCAATAAAAAAAAAATAGGTTCCTCCCAACCGGACTCGCACCCGTACCGACCCGTGCTCTTGCCACCGCCTTTGGTCGACAGCCAAACCAATAATGCATTTATGAAGAGGAAAAAACGAGTTAAGCCAAATTACGTTGTTATAAAATGAAAGATATATGTATGCTATTCAAGAAGCTATATTTCAAATTTGGTGACTCTAGCCCTTAAAACCTAGGATATTTGCTCAAGAACAGACAAACAAAAACAAAACGATTGCTTGAGCAAGATATTGAATATCGGAAAAAAATCGTACTGCGCGGGCACTGGAAGGACCAACGTTCTGAGATCGACGCGTTCATACATACGGACGGACTGACGGACATGGTTAGATCGGCTCGGCTGTTGATGCTGATCAAGACTATATTTACTTTATGGGGTCGCAGATGCTTCCTTCTGCCCGTTACATACAAAAGACAAACTTGAGCTTATAATTAATTAATACTACGACTTACTTGAATATGACAAAGTGACAAATAGTAAACACAAATATATTCGTATTTGCCATTTTTCGGGTTCCATCATTTTAACACTTATTTAGTTTACTTAAGTACTAGTTAGATTTTTTGCACATAAAACATGTTCACTGCTTTCAAAGCATATTTAAATCTCTAATAAATAATACAAAAATAATAAATTAATGGGAAAGGCATTTGTACACTTTTGAATTGAGCCGTTCTCACAACTGTGTCCTTTAAATTAAAACGGTCTTAGCTGCATTCAATTGACTTTTTTAGTAGTATACACAGTCGATGACGGAATTTAACATAATATTCGAAGTCGATATTATCCTGTAGCGCACAGCAGCAGAAATCATGGCATTCATGTCGTACGCACTTTATCATATAGCTGCCATCGGACCTGTGGGCCTAAAATTCAGTTTTTATAAGAACAACTTTTTCAATAAATATTTAAAAACTCACCAGTGACGATCTGCATTACACGACAAGCATACGCGCAAAATGTCATCTACATCGGACTATTAGAACTTAGGAAGATCAGCTGAAAATTAAATATTTTATTGATAACATGCCCATAAAGTATATGCAAATGGTGATTTTAGCTCTTATAATTTACGAGATTTGCTCAAAAAACTGCATTTCGATATTATTCGATTACTTGGAAACGGAGGACCTACGTTTCATTTTCATTTCCATTTCAAGTCACTAGATCTTATATGTTCTGAGCTCCTTGCGATCATACACACGGACAGACAGACGGACATGCCTAGATCGACCCGGCTTTTGATGCTGATCAAGATATACTTTATCTGGTCGGAGAAGCTACCTTCTGCCTGTGACATACATTTGCGCAAATACATGATACCCTCGGTACTTAAGAGCTCTTAAATTACTTAATTGGCGCCCAACGGGATAATAGCACAACGCAGATTCACTCAACAACAACTGAAGCGGCATAAAACGTCACCAACGACGGCAGCGGAAGAATAGAAACAGCAACAACCTAAACAGATTCTAGGAATTAAATTAGAGAATGTAAATAGACCACTCGATTCCCAATCTTTGTGAAAACTGAGAGAAATGTCAACGACACAGTCGATCTTATACTTCAGGCAACCTTAGAATACTCAGTTACAAACAAGCGACCTGTCAACATAATCCATTCATTTCCCCCAGAGCTGGACAGAATTAAGAAATAAAGTCCTTTAAGCACAGAATATCCAATTCCAAAGGTTAAATGTAGTAAGACAAAATAGAAATTTCCGAGTAGGAGATAAAGTCCTTGTAAGATCAAATAAGAGACGGGTAAATACGGTTACGCCTTTGTACAGTGAGGAAACAGTAGATGCGACTTGGATCAACAGTCCTAGTTAAAGGGAGAGCGGTTCATAAAGATAATGTAAGCTGGTTAAAATAGAACTTTCTTTTCTCAGGACTTGGACTATACTACTTCTTGCCACAATGACATCGGCCAAATTGATAGATTACTCGATCGCGGACTACATCCCTGTTGTGGATCAAGACACGACAATTTGGTAAGATTTTGAATATTTAAAACACTCGACTTACTTGACAATGTACGCGGAAATTACAAGCGAAACTGAGCTGTTGGAGAATCATTTTTCTCAATCGCATATGAGACAAATACTGGACTCAGAGATAAGACACTCGAGAACGTTCCTGGCAACAATAAATATCCACCATCGACACGCTAGAAGCATCAATCTATTAGGCACCGTTTTAAGGTAGTTGCTGGGACTCCTGACGACTTTGAAAGACTAAAACTGACACAACACGAGCTCATTGAATTTGAAAACAAACAGGTTAACATTAATACAAACAACGCAGGAACAGTTAAATAAACAAACAGACACAGTAAACATTTCAATTCTAAAAATAGCCAATTAAATACAGAACACTTATACGAAAAATTTCTCTCAAGAAATAGGAAACTGAGTTCTGAACTTGAAACTCTAATGCTATCCGTTACAATCACAAAGACTGGAATTGTCAACCCGGCAATATTAGACCCAAATGATTTACAAAACATAATCCATGGGCTTTCTACGAACATAATCATTACTGACTTGATGGAAGTAGCCCAAATTAAGGTTCTATTAAATAAAAATTTTTACATTTTTAAATTCAATTATCCTAAGCCAAGTTTTATATGTAAGAAAATACCTTTATACTCTGTACAACGCAATAATACCATACTCCACTTTGCCGACGAAAAGATCATAGCCGACATCGGCACTGAGATATTACCAATAGGAAACTGCATCGCTACGCTCACAACAACTTTCTGCAGAAGATTTCCGTATACGACATGTGCCCAGCTCATTGTACCATTGCACCTCATTCGCACAGCTCATTGCACCACCCGGCTCAGCCATCCTCATCAATGAAGAAAGCGCCGTCATTACGATTAGTGATAAGGAAGAAGAAACTGTGACCTCCAGTCACAGTTATTTTATTTTCGTTACCAAAGAATATCTTAGTCGCTGTATGTATGTACATATGCATTACATATGTATGTGTATATTGACAATTAAATTGAATAACGTTCACTAATAGAAAAAAACATGCGTGTGTATGTGTACATGCCTGCATATATTTTGATGGATTTAAAAGGCGCTTCTTTCATATGTACATATGTATGTATATACGTACATTTGGCTGCAAGTGAACAGGACTAAAGTGAATTGAATCACGTGGACGTCCATGTGTTGCCAATTAAGCCTTTTTTCGCACAAATCTTCATTTTTTAAACTGAATTAGCCGGAAAAAATGTCAGATAAACTATCATTTTTTTAATTTTAACTTTAAGTAAATGTCCTATTCCGTTTTTTTTTTGTGTGTAGATGGTAGTTGGCAGTACTGATGGATGCACATACATATGTACATATGTATATTTTTAGTCAAGTTTATTCATAACATATATTTATATACATATGTACATACATATGTGCATATGCAAGTACATAATAATATACATATGTATGTATGTATGTAGATAGAAAGTATGTATGTACATATTAGGCGCTTTTTCAATTTTAATAAAAATACACATGAACAGTATATATGTACATACATACATACCCGTTAGATATACATGTACATACATGTACCAGCATAAGCATATATATGTATATGTTAGCTGCTGGCATGACTAAATATATGTACATACATATGTACATATACATATTCGAATATTTATTAAAATAAATGAACATTCAATGTACGATTGTATCATTTGACCTTACACAATTATTTTTACGTTGTATTCCATTCTTCCGCGAAGATTAAAGTAATTTAAGGATGTGTCGTGAACTACTTTTTTTTTTAAAGGTCCTCTTTTTCGTACCACCATACGGAGACTAAATTAGAGTTGACAAGTACACTCAGCGTAACTCACGCAGTCGCATTTCGTTTCTCAAATTTAACAGTGCCACAATGGAATCAGTTGGTGTGTATACATTTTCTTTACCTAACATGTGTAAACATGTACATATGCATGAAGGCCCATAGGCACACATCCATATGTATGGGTAGTTAGGAGAACCCTGCAGAAAGTTGCGGAATGTACAATGTGTTAAAAATGTTTTAAAAGAAAATAAGTATTCTTTCAATTTATTTTCAAAACAATTTAAAATTGGGTATTTTATTTCTAAATATATTTTGATCCTTCATTTTTCTGAAAACCTAACGGCTTAAAAATAATTTACATACATACATATGTACTTTGACTAAACATTTTATAGAAAAAAACTTAAAACATTCAGGTTAATTGTTAATTGGTTTGTACTTTTCTCGTTAGATTTAATCTTATTTCTTGTTCTCGATTTTTTAAGTCATTTTCTATTGTTACTTGTAACGTTTGCCTTAGTTGTTGTTAAAAAAAATAATAATAATAACAACAAATATATTTTCGGGTATACATTTTTTTTATGAAAGCAATTTCTTCCTGAAAAAAACGTTAACTATAATTCACTTTTTCGATTTAAATAGATTTAATTATAAACATAAAAGGGCCGGTCTTTTTGGCATCCAATCTACATACATACATACATACATTTTATGCTGGTATTTTTCATCAGGTGATCTACGTAAACCAACGGCTTGTGGTATTTTACAAAATGCGATAACAAAATTCGATTATTGATATTTGTATAACAGTGAATAAAACAACGTCTCATATTTTTAGATCTACTTTGAATAAGTAAACTCATGCTCCGAGAAGTAATTTTGTGTAAGAGCCAAGTTCGTCTAGGGAAATCGTAAGTTACAAAAATAAATGTACATAGAACAGGGTTGATTCTGCAAAGAAAGTATTTGGCAGATTAGATGAAAGTGGCATTCGATAACCTTTTAACCCTTGGTAAAAACAGGTGCGAAAATTACAGCAGGATGTAGTCGACCCCGCGATTTAGAATATTTTCAAAATGTACTGACAATCAAAAAAAATTTTTCAATCATGGGGTAGACTTCGACAGTATACTCAGTTGGGGATGCCGTCAAAAAAGGTCTTAATCGGAAAAGTTTAATGTTATAAAGGCAGTTAGACACTCGCATTTACACAATTCCAAAAATATTGTTACGGAACTGCTTTTTCCCATTGCCACGCGCCGGCTGGCTCATCGGTTCTCTAGAAATAGTCCCATCCCGCACAATCGATATGGCGCCCAACGTGGCGACTGAACCCACGAGCCTGAGATTAAGAGTCTAATGCTGCACGAGCTGGTGGCCTATAACCGCGCAGTGTGGAGTGGGGTCCGAGAAGCACGACGGAGGCAGATCTTACCAGATTATACATAAGCATGAAAGGTTTTGCTTGTAGTGGTTGATGGCAGTATGACTAGGGTCAACAGCTGGGTGCAATTGCGAATTGCCCGTTAGACAGGTTCAGGCTATCAGGCGGAGCATGATAATATGCAGGAGCTGCTACAATGAGAGTAACAAACCGGCGAAGGGGTGGATGATTACATCAACCACATGCGTCAACTCGCCGTGCGATTCCAGAAGCCGCTGAGATACCGGGAACTGGTGAAGATAATAAAGCGTGGCTTGAAAGAGCGTTTGGAGAAATATGTTTATGCGATGGATGTTCTCACCGTGAACCACCTGCGCCAAAAATGACTGCCTTTCCAAAGTGCGGAGGATTTTCTGCTACAGGTGGGGTAAGCCGGACACTCTGTGCCGAAAACAGTCCGAGCCCAGGGGTGGCCTACCTCCGAAACAACAACGACGAACAAAGAAAACAGTTGGAGGAAGTGAAGCACGAAAAGGATGGTCTAGGGAAGACGCCTTTATTGCAGCAATAAATACAGCTAATCGAAGCTTCCTAGGTACAGCGGGTTTGTATCGTCGCCTCATTAAGATCTGCGCCAAGATCTCGGTATCGTTGACTGATGCCTTGTAGAAGACAAGCGGAAAATTTGTGCTGAGCGACGAGGCCATAGATGGCGTGAAAAAGTTGAAGCTAGCCCTTACCACAGCTACGGTTTTGGTTAACGCCGATTTTAAAAGACACTTTTTTATCCAATGCAACGCAGTTCGGCAAAACTCAACATACCCTGGAGTTCGAGGCCGCTGAGTACCGAGGGCTGGGGAGGTGATGAGCCAACAACAAATTACCGGATTTAAGAGTGCAGAACGGACTTTTGTTCAAGAGAACGGCGCACGAAACTTTGTAGGATGAAGTTGAAAGCACGAGTTGAAAACTCTGGGTGCCGGAGTTGCTGACTGCAGGACTCATCCAACGAGCACATGCGGACGAGACGTCAGCTCATGGAGGCGGGAATCCCCCGCAGCAGAAGTCGTCATCTTTCGAGCATTCGAAGTATTTTTCAAACTACGCATTTGCGCACCCCCGTGTACTCACCTCAGAGTAATGCCGCCGAACGCGTGATCCGAACGGTACTGCCGGCGATCAGAACGTATTTGGATCAGGACCATAGGGAATGGGATGCGTTCCTACCTGAGGTGGCGATTCGAAATGCGGTGTTTCCGCCAAATGCTTACGTTAACTGCTCAACTAGTTCACCCAATGGTTTTATAATGTGGTCTGGGTTCGCATGAAAAGTCTGAAACGATTTCCTTGGCTAGTTGGAAGCTCGTCAATGAGCAATCGATATTTTTTGTTAGTCTGCCGGATTGCCGACTCATTTTATCTAGCTTCATGTCGATTTCCATCTTTTTTAAGTCTTGTCTTGTTGCATTTGTGCCATGGAATTTTGTCTAATGCTTGGTTGATCTTCTTCCTGATCCTCTTCTTCAGAAGAAGCGTTACTGCTGTTGTTCGTTAAGGTGATCTTCGCCCTTCTCTTTATCCAGCTCGCGTCACTTTTCATTTACTTGGCCTATAATTCCTCAATTTGTTCAATTTGGTGAACAGGGAACGGAGCGCTGATAAAACTTCACTCTTTAATTAATCGTATAATTTTGCTTGGTGTAATATTTATCCATAAGTTGGCTATCTTAATAAATTAAATAGCATATTCTAAACTATTAAGCTAATAACTAGACTTAGTCTAGAGTCTTAGTTCGTATTCGGTTATATATTTCGCGAATTGTGTCGTCTGAGTGGGAAGCAGCTCGTTGCATCGGGATTCCCGATGACTTGGGTAAAAATGCGATGCGATCCGAAAAATATTTATGTGGTTAATAGCTTGATAGCAACAATTTAAACAATTCATCAATAACAAGAGATAATATTTCATTTGTTCATATGGATATGTTATTAAATTACTTTTATTAAACATTTATTTAGCTACATACATAAATCAATAAATATTTATTTATATTATAAAATTAAAGAAAAATATATTTTTGTACAATATGTGTGACTTTAAATAATATTAGAGCTTTTAGTTTGCAACTATGAAATAAAATAATGTACATGATTCGATTTGGCTGAATTATAACCAAAGAATTTAATCCTAGTAATGTGCCAGTTGGATTATTTTGATTTATCTATGTGCTTTCAATTAAAAGAAAACAACAAAATATTTTATTGTGTTTCGTTTGAAACGACTTTTAATATCGCCATAGAATGAATTGACAAAAAAAAACCTTTTCCATAAAATCTCAGTATTTGAAAATTTGTTGTTAGAAAAACTTGCATATTAATATTCATAACAATGACAAAGATTAGGGAAAATTTGAAAACATAACCCTATAGAAAAATATTTTGTAACATCATGACATTGTTATTATATAGCTTTTTACACTAGGCATCTTTAATAATGGGTGAAACACATTATTTTATTGCCATTGATTAATTTTGTAGGATATACCGCTTCGGTGGCATGCCGAATCCTTGAATTTGTTTAAACCGTGGCTTTAGACAAGCCCAAACGAACATTATTAATAGATAGCTTCTAAATAATTTATAAATCATTATGATACGATATAAAAATATACACAAACTATATTTTATTGTATTGATTTCTCCAACATAACCGATTAAGATAAATTCAGATACTACAAAAGATACTTAGCTTACTTTAGCCGAACAAATGTTAAAATTAGTGATTACTTGCTATTACACATATCTACTTTAAAAAATAAATTATGCTTACATTCATACATATATTATATGCACTAATTAAGATCGTTATAATTTAAGCCTATACTTCAATAGCATTTTATATAATTTCTGTTCCCTTTTTTAAAGTATGGTTTAAACAATGAGACAATGAAACATTTCACGCATAGTCATCGCCACTGCGGTCATCATCTTCATCAGACGACATCACTTTGCGCCGTTTTTTTTTACTGCGTTGTTGGCTCTGCTTTCGGGCAAGTAACTTCGCAGGGGATAGTGCTGATTTTGCATTACGTGAAGCCGGTGTATTGGTACAAGGCGTTTCCTATATAAAACATTTTGGTTTATTTTTTGATTTGAGAAACAAAAACATGTATTATATGCTTACAGCCGTTAACGTGGTTGATGCTTGAATATTGCTTTGAGTACCCGTTGGCATAGAAACTGAATTTGGCTTGTCATTTAGCATTTGACTTGGCCTGCTGGAATTGAAAGAGCTATCTCTTTCATCAATGAGTCCGGAATTATTTAGTTTTGACTTTTCTCGAGATTCATCTGCATCAGAATCTGCATCTTCCGGATCCAGTTTAAGCATCAGTTGTTTAAACTAAAATTCAGAGGATATTTACAATATATACAGATAATCGAAATTTAGGGTTACATACGTCCAAGTATTTTGTTACAAGATCCAATTTTTCTTCACTCGTGAGTTCTCTCGAAAAACAATCAGATTCTGTGCTTGCATAGTTTTGGATATGTTGCTTTTTAATCACATCTATCGTTGTTCTTGGATTAAAGTCTGCGACGCTTCTACGTGTCACTGCTTTTTCATAT